TCTGAAGACAGTTCAGTGTTTTTCAAGTGCAATAAATTGTCACTTTAAATCAGTAGTCATTCCAATATTGGCCAAAATAATCAGGATTATATATTTTTTCAATAATTAATTGGAGCTAGATTCAATGCATGAAAATCTGAAAGACTGTGTGTTACACTGAGTTGTTTGGAAATTAACTTAGCAGGTTATCGATCAGCTGATCAGGCTAATGAGGTGGATTGATCCAACCAGCAGCCTTAATTTAACATTGTAACACTCATAATGACAAGTGCTGACCTTGTTAAAGTGTAGACTGTTTATAAGCTAATAAGCCACCGAATACACAGATACGAACATTTAGGTTTGTTTTTCATTGCTGAATTTAACAAAATGGGACCTCCATCATACAACCCTTTCACCACATTATTTTATTTTAGTTTTCTAGAAATTCCTTGTGATTCGACATCTATCCATTAAAGATAAATACACCATTACTTGTGACTTCACAGAGACTTACAAAAAAATGTCGAACAATTCTAAACTATCACTTTGAATGTTCAGTTTTTAGTCCATTCTGACTGCATTCATGAGTCCAGGGTCCTATAATAAGATCTTTTGCCATGCTATTCATTTAGATTCTCATTGATAAACATAAGACATAATACAATATTCATGACACATTAACCATTGTATGAGAAATGAGGAAGTGGAGGAAGAGGGAGTTCCTCCTCTTCTGGTTCCACTTAGCGACCACCATCTCTTTCTCCTGCGTCATCCTCTGCACATTTTCCCCATCCAACGGTGCAGCTGGGCGTGTTCAGCCTCTCGTTTGTGAGAGTGATGCCCGGCGTCATTGCCTGGCTACCGTTGCCATGGCAATGCTCCTGCTGCAGAAGGGGCTTCAGATAGAGAAAGGGGCTGCTTTTTTGGGGAGGGGAGAGTCTCACGTGCATGTAGCCTCACCCAAACACACTTCTGTGCTCCCGATTTGCTTCCGTTTGTCTTTTTCTCCATGTTGACATGCATTGCACACTTACTTTAGCAGCGTTTTTCCATACCTACCCTCCTTCAATTTGTCAAAAGCACTGGCATTCCTTCTTCCGGCTCATTAATCAAATCTTCTCTATTGCACTCCATATTATACATGTATATATAGCCACAGCTCATTACATCCTCTCTGTCTCCTGGCTTCCTTCTCTTTAAAATATACACAGAAGAGAGGGCAAGGTCTCAGTCGCTGCATCCATCAGTCACTGAGGACATAAATTGTCACCGTGGTAACAACGAGAGGCAGCAGAAGCAGCTTGCTGGTCCTTCAGGAATCCACTGATCCATTTGTTCAGCTCTGTAAGCAACTGGACAAGCTTAAACTATAAAATCATTTGCTTTTTGCTTGTTCCAGGGTATTTTCTTTAATGTTGATTGTGAAGAACCGTAGGCTAAAGCAAAGCTGATTTAATTCTCTTAAAATATTTATTGTCCAAGCCTTAAAGGAGAGAGATAAAAAGAAATGCCAGTCCAGCCATCAATATTTTTCTATACATTACTGGATACGTTTCTGCTCCTTTTATTAAAATCTGAGAATAACTCTCAGTATTATTTGACAGTAATTTCTTTGAAACCATGTCAAACTGATATAGTGCAAGTAGCGAAAAGCCAAAAATCCTTTTTACAACAAGACAGCACAAACATGTAGTTATTTAAGGCCCTGGTGACATTTAGACAGATTTTTCTTGATTTGTTTTTTCTTTTAAATCTCAAAGGTCTAAGGCATCTCAAATCAAATATACAGTAACAACTTCACTTTTAAAATCATCACATTTTAAAACAATGTGAACCAGACTGGCTAAAACAGTGCTGTGCTAAATAGTCAAACTATTCCTCAAGTGAAACTTCAGTTGTGTTTTCTGTGACATTGTAATCTCTGGCTACGTCACACACCTCTACTTGCTTCACTGAATAAAGAACAGTAAATTTATGAATTGATTGAATAACCCTTTCAAATATATCAAAATGTATTGAATATGACCGTAAGCCTTACTTTAGATAAAATACATTCAAAAACTTTGTGTTATGTCATGTAAGGGCCAGTATTACAGTTCCTAGCAACTTTTAAAAATAAATAAAAATCAATGAAACTTGACTTGTCAAACAGAAACATGACCTCTGCAACTGAAAACAAGAACAGAGACAGGTTCAGGATAGCCAGCGGGTTTGTTCCAGCAACAACACAAAGATAAAAACTCAAAGTGCCCCGCTTGACCAGAGCTCCAAAAATCAATGTCCAGTTCCAACTTTAATGTTTCCATTGCAATCTAGATGTTGTTACACCATTAAACCTAAAGCACATCATAAGGTTTATTTATCTCACTTAAAAGGTTGTTGAGAACTCTGTTAACCTTTGCGATTTGGTTGCAACAGGCAGACACCTGATTTGAAAAAAAGCTGCTTTTCTGTCTTATTGAAGTCTTAGTCAAAAGCCTTTACTAAACCTCTGAAGCTTGACTATAGAATATCAAGAACCAAGTGCAAGGAGAAACATGGCATCCTGCAATTTACAGTGCAGAACTTCTAATATGCTGAATATCCAGAAAATCCCAAACTTGTATAAATTACAAAGATCCCGAATTCAAAGTCTTCCAAAGTTACAGCAAACTAAGTCAGAGAGTCAATAATTGTCTTCTGTAGAAGTTACTGAAAAAAAAAACAGGCTGAGTTTTGTGGAAAAAAAGACAATATTTTGCATTTACACAAGCTATTTATGTGCCACTTAACATCAGCAAGAGTTCCCTATATGGACATCAACTCTCTACACAAAGAACCGCAGCAGTGGTGCTTCTACGAAACATGAACTATAAAACAGAGGAAAAACACCACAGCAGATCCAGGTGTAAAAGCAGATTTTAGGCTCAGTGTAAAGCAGCTCACATTATAAGAGGATGAGCTGGTTTCTCCTCTGGGGACAAGCATGCAGATCAGTTCCACTTAAATGGATCAACAGTAATGTGTCTGCTTCGTTTTAACCAGCACAACGGCGTGTAGATGATTAACGGCTTATTGCAAGACACGTTCACATTTGCAAGGGATGTGGGAACCATTTGGGTATACATCAAACTGCAGAGAGGGGATGCAGATATTGAAGTGAAGCGCTGAATGAAGCAAAATGAGGCCACGCTAAACATCTCATGCACTCAGTTTAATCAAAATGGGGGTAGGAGGTCAGTCTCACAGGACACCCGTTAAATGATGCACTCAGCAGAGTAACACACAGAAGCTGATGATCTGATATCTGAGCGTCTCTTATAGCCAATGTATAACTCTCATCCCTGTATTAATCATTACTTTTTAAATAATTAACGCTATGCTGTCATATCACCACTTTGTCAATGCTGTTTTAAACAAATGCACCTTTTAAACGCCACAGCCCTAATTAATTAGCTCTAATTTGCACCTGCAGCATTGAGGAACTAGAGTAAAAAAAGAAACTAGAGTTAAAAAAAAAACCTGAGTAAGAAAAAGTGGATACAATCTAAATAAACCGCAGGAAGAGTGAAATGGTCTTATTGGTAATAAATCTGACATTTTATAATTGTGGAAGTACTTTTTACAGTTTTTTTGTTTTTGTTTTTGTTTTAATTTGAGACATCAAAACCAAAATGGAACTCCAAACTTTTAAAAAAAAGTGGTGTATAATGTTTTCATTTTCCACAGTTCACCATGATCCAGACTTTAGATCCTGATTAAAGTTAGTACTGGGTTAACTCCAGGTTTTAGAGGCCGTTTACAACTTTGGCTAAAACATGATAAAGAACCAGGTAATGGATAATGTAGATATAACAACACTTGTAGATTTTAGCTGTGTTTTTTAATGGGATACTTACATTAAATGTCCAGAACAGACACTGAAAGCATCAGTAATATTTGTTCAAATCTATTTTTATTGTTGCTCTATTGGAAAATATGCACTTCATTTTTCGTCATTTTACACAACATCCTATAGAAGAAAATGTATCGCCTTGTTTTTGCAATAGTTATGGTTTTCTTCTTTAAAACCTAAAATAAAATGAAATCTTTTTAACAAGTTGTCTAACATAGATATTTATCAAAAATAAATAATCTTTTTAAAAACCTACAGTAATATTTGTGGCAGTAAATGAGTTTTATTTAGCTACAGATCCATTTTTGAGAACAAAAACAGATCTTTAATTGTGAAGGTTGCAGAACCCTGGGCTAGAGCCACAATCCTGTTAGGGAATTGGTCAACCAAACAAGTTACAGTGCACTAGAGCTTGTTGAGCAAATATTATACTTCCAACAGTTTTAGCAGTGCTGAGTTTGAGGAAAGAATTGTCTTTAGCACCTAAAGATGAGTAAGTTTTGAGCAACAAAAAAAACCTGACAATCTCCCAGTCTTGAGTTAGTTTTGCCTCTAAACAGTCCAATTTAAGACAATAAAATGAGCTTTGTATATCTTTAACTGTCACTAGCTGTTTTTTTTTAATAGATCCAGTTTGACACAGTGAGTACAATTTTGTTTAAAAAAAAAAAAACAGATCAGATATCAGATGTACATCTGTAAAAAAAAAAAAAAAAAAAAAAACTGGTTGATTACACCTATTAATTTTGGGAATATTAAGCATTTGTTTGCAGGAATCATGAAAAATTATTTCATTGGTGCCGAGCTGCCGCTGTTTAAAGCACTTATCTGCCAAAATTCAGAACACAACAGAGCGAGGTTCAAACATTTTGCCTCGGAAAAGCAAACTGGTTCGTGCTGCATATTTTTATTCCTTTAATCAATCAAGAACAGGTTTTGATACCAGCTTTCATTATCATTTTTCAATCATGTATCAACAATTCCTAAAGATATCATATTCAGTTTCATTAATTCAGAGCCACTTCCCCCATCAAAAAAGAACTTGCATCAAATTAGCTTTTCTCAAGATCTCGGGCTTCTAGTTTAAGCTCCCTCCTTTAAAGAACATAAAATGTTCTACATGACTAAGGGTTGTTGGGTAAAGGTAAACAGTCGGCACCTCATTTTAGATTACAGACAAACACAATCTTATTTTACCTCATTAACCTTGTTCTTGTGGCATTTCCTGTTTGTTTTCCTTTAATTCGGCTGACGAGTGGAGGGCGAATGAAAATAGGACGTTAATGCATTCTGGAGACAATTAGCAGCAGACTGAGGTCTCCTCCACAGCGACACCGAAACAGACGCTCCCACCCACATAGTTGTATCAGATGAGAAATCTGTCAGCGAGTCTCCAACATCATTTTTGTCAATTATATTTTAAAAGATAAAGTATACGGTGAAGTCAGACAACAGACTCAAATTGCAAGATTTAGAGTTTCCAAATATCAACTGGTGAAAATGTGTTTGTCACCTTAAGGATACAGCTCTGGTTGCCAACTGATTACAGACTCAGCATTCAAAGATCTGGCCACTGAAAGTGAGGGAAATTGCTTGAATGTGACCCGACAATCAGTGTCAGACATATCTGATTCTGAGTTCTCTTCTTATTCCCGACTCGTCACCTACTGATGCCTCACCAGCCTCCGGAAATGATTTCCATCATGACTGCTGGATGCATCACACTCCAAAACAGCACATGGCCTTCACTTGTCCAACAAAACTATATAGAACGTCCAGAATTAACACAAATTAACAACATAGAAATCTGCCTCTCCACCTGCAGAAAGAGATTAAAACAAAATAATAACTATAACATACAGCCAAGTCCAAAATTATTCATATTACTGGCAGATTAAGATTTAAAGTAATCTTAGTTGGCATCCAAGTAAGAAATTTAAGTGCTGTACAATACCACTGAAGAGGGATAATTGGCAACAAACAGATGGGAGGCAGCTTTTATTATGTTAGGATGCAAAGCTTAAAGTTGGTAAATTTCCACATTGCATATGCAGATTAGCAGAAAAACAGAGCATCCTCTCAGTAGAAACCATGTGGCGCTCTGTGACTGTCACAGGATAAACAAGCAGCTGCTGCACAAAATTGTTCAAATTGTATTTTTGACTGATAGCAGCACAGAGTTGAGTTACAGACTCAACAAGGCAAAAACACAGGAACTTCAGCTTGGTCTCAGACTCAGCCAGTTAAACTGTGATAGCTGACTAATCAAATAATCAATATTAGCTGATTTTTCCTTGATTAGCAAGTCAAATGCAGATTTATGTTCATTTTCAAATGTATTTTTATATTTCGTTTGTGCTGCTAGTGACATTTATTCATTAGCAGCTCAACAGGCAGAGAAGAGAGGCAGACAACATGCTGTAAATGGAACGGGGTCAGGAATCGAATCCAGGACAGCTATGTTAAGGACTACAGGCTCACTAAAACCAAAAAATACTTCTTTGCCCTATAAAGTTTAGTGTAGACAAAGTTTTCCCTCCTAACATCAGTGGGGGATTAGCAGAGTTTTAAAGCAGCAGTAAAAGTCAACATGTCCAAACAGACAACCTCAAACAGAAACCAAGCAGCTTTAAAAGTACATCTTTGAAAATGACTTCACTGATACATTTCTAAAAAAAAAAAAAAAAAGAAAAGAGATCAAACTGGGAAACTAAAATGTTCCTGTCTTCCAAAAGATTAATTTCTCATTTGATCCATCATTAAATATGACGACAAGGATGTCCCAATGCATAAACACAAGAATAGGTTCTATTCTGGAGGCTTAATTCATATGCATACACCTGCAAATGAGTTTAACTCATTTCTGATGCATTTAATCTGCATCTGTTACTTTAAAACTGTTTGGCTTTAATCCAAAACCACTTTTAACCGCAAAAAAGTCTTTGATAGCTAGCTGCTGTTAAAAAGATTGCGTTTTAACTCTTTAAAGTCACATTCAAAGTTACTGTGATGTGTTATTGATTACAGCCTTGATATCCAGACCGAAGATAAAGATCAAAGTCTTATTGGATCTTAAAGGACTAGCTGTTTCTCCTGAGACTGAAGGAACAGAGAGGCAGCACGAGGATAAAGGAGAACAACAAACCGGGTGGAAGTGGGAGGAGTAGCGTGGGAGAAGATGAAGAAAGAGTGAGTAGAGAAAGAGGAGGAAATGGAGTGAATGACAACAAACAAATGTAAAAACATAGAAACATGAGAAGGGAAAAGGGAGTGGCAAAGGACTCCAGACCTTCTTCAGAGAACCCACAGCTACACTTGTTAGAAGCCACCTGTCAGTAACTATAGAACCCACAGGAACAGATGTATCCGTCATGCAACATTCCCATTTATCAACCAAAACTGATAAATGGGTATACTGGGTTCACTGGGGTTTATGTCTAATTGCTATATTAGGCAGAAACCCACAGCATTCCTGTGGTCTGAAGTACTCTAAATGAGAGGTCAGGAAAAGTGTTGAAGTGACTGAAGTTTTCTCTGACTCTGATCGGGCATGAAATGGGGCACCACTGACCCTCTCAAGTGCTGCTGTACGACATACTGCTGAATTTAAATCGTTTCTTTTTCTTCCAGACAGGAAAGACAAATTTGGGTGTTTGGAAATATTTCCATTCACAAAAAGCTACAGCTGCTCTAATGGCCAAACATCTCATGTTAAAATATGTATGGTGCCCTCTATAAAGCAATGTGGTTACATATATCTGGCAAAATAGACTTGAAAATACAAATACATTGAACAATGTTTATTCTGTGAGTAGATCCACGAATGGCAACAAAATAATAAATGTTATGCCATTATTTTAACTGTAAGAATAATTATAACAAAATCAAATAAATTTTGTGCTCAAGATTATGAGAATCTATTTCCATCACTTTGACTGGCTGCTTGTTGCTTTTCCGTTTCTGTATCCGTCAGCTCTTCACTGGAATCTGTCTCATCATGGCTACTGATGTGACTTAAATTTGCTGCCGTGAACTGATACTGAAATGTACTTTTCAAAAATAAACTAAATGAAGGTCAGCAGTGCCTACTCAACCTCATTAGAAACATATGATGGTGAAGAAGAGCAAACTTCTCATCAAATTTCCTTCTTGCATTTCAGCATCAAAGTCCAGTTTTCTTGTATCAGAAGATGATGAAGTGAACATTGAAGGCACTTTTGCTTTGATGAGTAGAAAAATAATTGACTTCAAAAATATCTTTAAAAGATGAAAGATAAACATGAGTAAGTCTCAGAGGTGCGCCATTCATATTTTTTTTCATTTTCTAGTTTCATCGCCAATTCTGATTTCAATAGATTTATAACCCCAACACCCACCTGACCCTTAAACGGGGCTATCATACAAAAAGACATTGAGAATTGGTGGGAGTTCTTTTTGTGACAGTATTTGACCTGCATCAGGAGGGAAAGATCAAGAAAAAAAAATCATTTCTGAATCAATCTCATATTTCCCCAAGGATAATCTCCCATTTTAGAAGCCATTTCTTGAAAAAAGTTGACAATTTGCACTGACAAATAGCACAGCTTTAAAATAGCTACTCATTATTTTTTCATTAGCAGACTTCCTGATTAATTTCCATTCTTTTAAGCAGATTCTATTCTTGAAGAAAGGGAAAAGAAAAGGAATTTGAGGGAAATGTTATCTCTTTCTATGAACAATGTAACCCATTCTCATGAAATGCCAGTGACATGTTTAGATTTACCTCTAAATAAAACATCTAGGTTTTCTGTTGAGTTTTGGATTTTCTTTAAAGCTGAAAGGAGGCTCAGCATCTTGCACCTAATTATGTTTTTATCTCCTGCAGCGCCAAAGCAACAGTGATTCATCCATGCAAAGCTCTCCTGTGTTTGGTTACCTTGGTAAACCTGGGTTTACATGCTACTGAGGCAATGAGCTGCAGCCCTTCACATCCTGCCCCCCACTCACCCACCCACCCAGCTCTCTCCCCTCCAGGATAATTAGCAAATTAATGATGTCGCTTGCAAATCAGAGAGACAAACACAATTACTCCAACATTTCCTGCTTTTGTGCAACGCAGCCTGGAGGATCACTTTGAAATTTATTACAGGAAGATTGTGATCACAAGTCAAAAGAAGCAACAATTTTCATTTGTTACCTTCATGTCTCCAATGACAGTCTGGAAAAGCCCCCCCAGCGCGCTGCACTCCCTCTCCATCACCGTCTCCATCTTCAGCTGCGTGAACGGAAATTGCAAACAATCTCACACGCAGCTCCCGGAGTCCATTAATGACGCGGAACCAAACGAACAAATCACAGAAAAAGGGTGGAACTGATCGGAAAAGGCTCAGCTTCGCGCTGCGGGGTGTCCCCGGCTGGTAACGGAGCCCTGAACGCGGACAGAAGGCGCAGCAGAGTCGCTTAGTTTCCAGTCGCAGCCGGTAACTCCCATGTCTGCAGCAGGAGGAGGAGAGGCATGACGGAGGTGGGAAGTGAAGTGACAGCAGAGAGGAGCGCGGCACCGCCGGAGAGAGGAGCAACTTTCCACAGAGCTGCGCCTCAGGCACCAAGACAGGGGACCGGGCACGGGAGCGCGCTTCTTTGGGCCGTGGACGCGCTGGAAGTTGGCCCCGCCTACAAATCAGGGAGGTTTTTTTTTTCATAATGGAGGGTGTTGTCTTTGGGACAATACTGATTTAATTACTAGGCCCAATAGGCTGTGGTTATTAACACGCAAACATAATATTCAAACAAACCATGTCAGATGTAGAAGAAGGAGGGAAAAGTCTAAATGAACAGAGCAGTCAACTAAAATAGATCAATTTTAGTCACAACAGATGAACAAGCATTTACTTACAACACACACACAAAAAAAGTAAAGAAAATATATTTTGAACGTAAATAAGAAGGAGAAGCTTTAAGGACTGATACCGAGCGTAAATTTCTAGACTGCTGCTCAATGAATGAATGAATGAATGAATAAATAAATAAATCAGAAAGGGGAGCATATCAGTAAAATATACTATTTTTAAAATAGTTTATGCAAAATTTCACAACAAGAGAAATATCACAAATAATCTTGTATTTTTCTGGATTCATAGTTTTAACAGGACTTTCATTGAGAAGCGCTCACGTTCATCTTTTTGACCACGTCGCCATCTAGTGAATATTTTACTGAACTACTTCATTATAAGGAAAATAAAAGTTAAGTGTTGAATAAATACACAGTAAGGAATAGACAGGAAGGACGAATTAAACAAGCATTTTTTAAAGGAAAAAATTATCAGTGAGATAAAAGTTATACTAAATTTAACAGTTTTATCTGAGGACTTTGTGGAATTTAATTCACATGCGGAATACATTTAAGCAGTAGATCCAACATTTCTTCCAGATCTTGCACTGATTTTACATTATTTGTCTAATCAAGTTCAGTTTTAAGGAGTTCTTCAGCAGTTTTGTTCTTCATTTAAGTCATGGTACACCCAGTAACCAAGTATGTAACCCAATTTGCATTTACTTGAGACAGAAACGTTGTGCAATTGACTCAGTACCTCAACAGACACGAAAACTAAGACAGGAACCTCTAAAATTCTGGGTTGGAGAGAGTAAGGTGGACCTGTAAGTGAAGGACACAAAAGTAACAAATGGCTGGTGGAATAAAGGATGATTATCTCCTATAAATGTTGTCAAACGGCTTAATTCCTGTTTGACACAAAGACTCACAGATATAGACTTAACATGAAGAAGGATGGTTTATTCCCCCAAACAATTCCAAGATACCATTCAGTGCACATGATTCAGGATGAATCTAAAAATAGAAATAGAAATGACCTTCCAGGAGCTCTGAAGAGTTCCATAAACAGCACACACATCTTCCCAAATATGGCCTTATTACTTCTAAACACACAGCTCCAGCTTCATGGAAGCACAGGGTTCTCTGCACACACTTTTCACATAAGGCAACTTGTGCTTCAGCTTTGACTGCCTTTAGGCTCATAAAGACATTCTTTTCTTTTTCCACTCACTCTGTGTACACACTTCATGTTGATGAAAAGTACTATTTCCACTGGCAGATTATTTGACTTATAACATAGGAAAACGTCTTAGTATAAGTGAAATAATCTATCAGTACTTTATCAAGACATTATTGATTCAAAACGAGCTCATATGTCTTGCTGAAAAGCTACTTAGTTGTTTCGTTCCCTTTATTTCAAGTGTATTTGAATTAGAAACTAGAAAAAAGTACTAGGATTTTTGTTTTTGCAGTAAGACTTTGCCAAGCCTATATATCAACTACTGTAGTGTAGCAAAATGTAATATGAATAATTATGAGGCAAAAATGAAACAGGTGAACTGAAATGCACCCAATTAGCAGAAATACACAAAACTGAAAAACACTGTTTACAGATACATTATGAACCATTAACCAGAGACTAATTTAGTGAATCCCAAACAAAAAACAATTGACTTTATGTATAGATGTTTTGCTTTATATTGTAGGTTTAGTTTCAGATTAAATTATGAAAATATGTGAGAATTGGTGAAGTTCCTTAAAATCAAGAGTTAAAAGCCTTGACGTGTTTCTTAGTACAATAGCTCAAATACATTTTGGAAAGATGTTGCTGGTACAGTAGGATCAAAATATGACAAGATGTGATATTCATCTGAACTTAAGCAGACCTTAAGTGAGAAGTTTAAAATGTTGAGTGTAAAAGGATACATTTAACCCACTTTGAACTGAACAGGGATCAGCTGGGGAGCCTGACGGTGTTACAGAGTACCATCACTTACCATGTAGGCCTGCTGCTTAATGACAGGGAGCACAAAACACATGGGATGATAGTCCGTGCCCAGAAGAAAGCAGGGTTCTGTCATTATCTGGCCTGAATAGTGGAACAATGAACTAATAACTGCTATCAGAGTGGCAGGGAGGGGGATAATGAGGAGGGTGGAGACAAGGAACCAGCGATCAGACTCATTTTACACTGCTTTTCATGTACAATGTTACGATATTTTAAGTGCTTCCCTGCATGGTGAAAAACACCCAACACTGAAGCGTTGAATAGAAACCGACATACCCAAGAGCTACTTGGCATTAGCATGGATTCATCCCTCCAACACACCTAAAAGCTAATTGAAACCATGCTAAAAAGGTAAGCCACATTAGTTGTGTTTGAGTAAAAAGTTACCAGTGCCAAGATGGTGAACCCCAAAGGTAGCACTTTACCGCAGTTAGAGCCAATAACTGGTTGCAACATATAGTTCAAAGACCTACATGTTGCCCCTCCCCCATTGCCCTCTGGCCCAGTCATGCAGTTAGTTGTGCATTTGATGAGACGTCCAACGTTCCCCTTAGCTTACATTTAGTTCTAGTGCAGCTCTCAACCTTATAGCACTAGCTACAGAGTTTCTTCCACATCACCAGCAGTTACACCCAGTTGGTAAAATAAGTCAGATGATGGAGCCTCTAAAATATTAAGGCTTAGACATCTGTAGTAGCTCTTGTAATAGACAAATGCAAAACAGTTTCAAGCAGTTTATTTCAGTATGAATCCACAAAGGACCAGAGGATTGGAAACCTGAGCACAGAAACGGAGCATTTATAGACATTGCGCAAGTGTGTAACATCAAAATGATAGTGACTTACAATTAAGATCTCAGAGCCCATTTCTGTTTGACAGTTGTAGTTAACTTCCACATTAACTGATCTACTGTAGAGCTTCTTGACTCAGGCTTCATTTATGAATTTCCACTGGCATCTTGCAAAATATCCTTGTTCTGAGGTACACTGGAGACCAGAGAGCCCAGCAACCTTGTCTGCTGCCGGGTGGCATGGTAGCCTGATTGCAGCCCTCTAGGATGGTTTCCAGGTGAGAGTGGTCTAGAACTCCTGAAGTTGGCACTGACTCGATTGGAGTCAGAGGAAAGCGCACTACCCCACACATTCTTGGTCTGCAGTACAGCTGAGGCCTTTTGGTGTCGCTGGGCAGTTGACTCTGGAGCCCATACACTAGAAGTATAGATGCCCAACTGACTAGGATTGGTTTTCAGCGTAGCAGGCACCGACAAAGAGTGTTGGCGTCGTCTAGCAGTGGATTCTGACCTAGCGCTTGGAAGATTGACAGTGTGCCACATGCCTGCTTTGGTCTGGAGTACAGCAGGTAAGGAGAATGCAGGATGTTGATTGGATGGTTGGGAAGCAGATTCTGAAGTCAACTGTATGCCAGTGGCAGGTGAACTGGGCTGCAGTCGAGGTGGTGCATGAATCTCAATGGCACCACTGGAGACAACATTAGAGCCATAGCGCCTCTCCCCTTGAGATGAAGGTTCCCTCATTCCTGGACCTCTATGGAGCAGGCCACCTGGCTGTTGCTGCCAAGTCAGAGCTGAGGCAGGTCTGTAGCTAGATACACTTCCTGGTTGACTGTAACTACTTACTTGCCTGCCATAACCCCTTTGACCTTGGCTAGGAACTGAGCCCCATAGTTTGGAAGCCTCAGTTGATAAATCTCCAAGGAAAGTTGAGGTAGACACAGAACTTCGTGGCAGTAGAGAGCCTTGATAACTGGAGGGAACAGGTCGGTAAGAACGGCGCAGAGTCTCAGCTCGAGTTGAAGGGCCAAGATTTCTACTTGCATATCTTAAGACATTTCCTACGGGAAAAATAAAGCCATTTGTCAGAGATAGTTATGAGACAACACTTTGAGTTCAGTGAATCCATACCTGCTGCAAGCTGCCCAAAGGTTGTCAGAGAGAGCAATAGAATGCTGAAAGGGACCAGTTAGTCAGAATTGGTTATTTCATTTAACATTGTAATTTTACTCTGCAGAATTTTGAAGTTTAGTCAAACCTCAAATGTAATCCAAAAGTCATTTCTTTGTTCAGAAAACCTGAAGCAAGACAGTCCGTAAACCGTTTGCTGTACAGACTGCTAAGAAAAGAAGTCCCAGTCTTAGCATCATACATACACCAGCTCCAATGGTCCTTTAAAAGGTTTCAGACGTCAGCCAGCCACACGTCTCACTGATTAATAATTGGAAGCAGCTTGGAGTCTTTTTTTGGGAACATGGCTGACGTTGTTTCTTTTGGGATGTCACTTAGCTTCATTCCTCACAGCTGTGAGCCACCCAATTAGCTCCTATAGTCTCTTAAAGGGGAAGTTCTTGCATTGTGCTTCAATATTTCCTTCCTGCAGTGTTTTTTTTTTATATCATTATTCAACAATGAGATTTTCATCCTCTGGCTCATAATGAATTTAAATAACAAACAATGAATGAATAAATACAACACAATCGTATTTTTGTTCAATTTCCTTTTTCTACATGCAATGACAAATAAGTATTTATATTTTATTCTACTGCATTGTATTTATGAAGTCGTTGGCAGGACATGGTGCCTGTTGTGGAAACATAAGGATATTTAGTTCTTTAAAATCTCTGTGCAGCTTAATCATACCTTATAAATCTGGCTTCATGCACAATCCTCATTCTGAGGATTGAGAAAAACAGTGAGAGGAAGCAGCAACTTCATATTTCTTGATAAAGGCAATGCAACATCCATACCAACTAACATTAGTATGATTAACTGAATTTGACAGTGTTGGATTAGAATTAGATGTGAATTGGAGTGGATTTAACCCTAACTTTACTTTATGAGTGGATTTCATTTGATTGTATGTGAATAATCTAGACTTAACGCCATATTTGTTTTACTTTCAATTCTGTGAAACCTAGCTTATGCTCAATAAATAGCATAAGCCGGATATTAGCACAATTGAAGTGCTAATATCCATAATGATATTAGAAATAAACTATTTCTGCCTCTCACTTTGCACTATTTACAATTAAGCTAAAAGTTGCTGGATTGGATGTAAAAATATTTTCCTTCAAGTGTTTTGCTGCCAAGTCCTCTAAATGTTGCAAAACAATGAAAAAGGCTGAATCAATATAAAATATAAATGTATAATGAGGGGAATCATTTATATCCTTTTCAATAATCAATAATAAAAAAATCTTGTTCACATTTCAGCAATCAAATCCTTTGTTAACCAGCTGTCTGCATTTACTCACAGGTATTTTTATTGTTTTTCTTTGGTGAAAAGATGTAAAAGTTTGGAAGGACTCTTTACTATCTAATTTTCTTCCTCCAGAGTTTCTCTATCAAAATCAAACCAGGACTCTGGCTTGGTCACTCAAAATGTTTTTTTACTGTCTGCAAGGAAAAATAAATGGAGGTAAGTATAAAAAAATACTTTAAACCTAAATTGGGGGTATGGATAATTTGTGGCATAAATTTAAGTGGAGCTGCTATTTGAACATCAGTGGAACTTAAATCAATATTTCTAACTAGTGCAGTATTGGACAAAATCAGACAATGTGTAAAGCAAGCTGCCTCATATTTATTAATTCAGGGATTTATTTTAAAAATATACACTTCTTCATCAAATATTAAAATAGTAGTAATAATAATAATAAAACTGCTCCTATTGTCAGCCATTGATTTCTATTTTACCTGTAACTTGTGTTTGTGCAAGTAATTGAACCTACTCAGAAAACCATACACATGTGACTGTTTTATTTAATATATTCAATCATCACTGCTTTGACTAGTTTCACAATATGATCATTCATATTAGTTCACATTGTACATTATCACATCACAAAGCTTCACACAATTCAGATAAGTTATTTAAAATTGTGTATCTTCTGCATGTAAGGTTTAGTTTTTATGTAGTTTTTTAAACAGAAATAAATAGTTTTAATACAGCCAATTAGTTTAATACAATAAAAATGCTTTAAAGTAGCAAAAAAAAAAAAATGGTCAAATGAATAAAAGGATAGAAATGGAGAGCCTTAAGATGAATAGAAAGATAGCACAGAGGAATTCAAGATAAAAAAAGACTCTTTGATGAAGTGTTAACTGAGGGTTAATGAAGGGTTAACTGAGTTTGAGGCCAAGGCAGAGAGCAAGCTCGTTCTTCTGGATTTTTCCGTCTCTGTTGATGTCACAGTGACCCATCAGGGCTTTCCTGAACTTGTCCAGTTCCATCCCGCTGATACTGGGCTGCAGAAAGGTTTGAGAGAGCTGCTCTTAGAAGAAAAATCTGAGGTCACAGCGTTTCTGTCCATCCATCCAAATATTGTTTTAAAAATTAATTGCATACCGTTGGAAAAACATATATTCAACTAGAAAATTTTGTGGCTCAAGTTAGAATTTGACACAGACACACATACTCATACACACACAAGGGAAATTAACCTAACACATATTTTTGGGCTACTGGAGAGGAAGCCGGAGTACACTGAGAGAATCCACTCTTGCAAAGGGAGCGCATGCAAACATCGTACACATAGGCCTGAATTTGAACCCAAGACCATGTTGAATTAAGTCTACAGTGCAAACAACTAAGCCATCATGCAACCCAATATAAATATGACTGGAGGCAGTTTCATCTGTGTTTATAAAATAAGAAAATAATTTGGAAATTTGTGATTTTTTTTTTTTTTTACCTTCACCAGCTCCATCATGTCCTTGACAAATCCATCAACTTCAGGCCCCTCCAGTGCACCTGTCTTACTCTACACACAAAACATACTTAAGCTCCATACAGGTAAAAGTCGGATTACCGTATCTTTAACTTTTAGTTTGGTTAGCACATTTTACTGTAAAAATAGAATATCTTAACATAAGAACATCTAAAGAGCAAAATAAGTATTTTGTGATGCAGTACAGCTGCATCTCATAACTGAAATATTCTATAACAAAACTTTCAATTTCATAAAAAATCATCTGTGGTTTTACATTATTTGTAAAAGAAAATCAGGTTCAATTAGTCGTTATAAATGTGGTGGTAAAAGAGCAGAGAAGAGAGAATGAAACCAAAGAAATCTGAACTTACAACATCATAATGAGCAAATATCTTCTCAAAGTCCCTCTTTCTGTCCTCTAGACTGCAAGCCTGAAACAGTCAGATTAGATTTAAAGTTCATGAGGCTTGGAAGGATGTTAGAAAATTCATTTAAGAACATATGAATGTGTCTAGAGAAATGGGGTTTAAATTTGAACTCACCTCTGTCTTAAACTTCAGTAGAAAGTTTTCATTCAGTGCCAAAATTCTAAGAAAAAACAGAAAAACAATGAAAATCCAAAACAAACAAATTCCAATACATTCTGACATTTATGTTGCAGTTTGTTATGAGTTGCTTCTTCTAAGCATAAAATATTAATCAAGAATGTAGTGCACAGTCTTTTTTTAAATGTTCTGTTTAAATCTACAAAGTACATTACATACAGGAAACATACAAATCACAGAGACCTTATAAACAAGTGACAAAGTCAAGGTAACAATTAATGATTTAAGTGAAATACAGTTAGTCAGTTTTAGTTTTTTATACAATTAGCAGAATTGGCCATAAATTAGCAAACTTTGCAGAAACTTAGGGCTCCATAAGCTCTTGAAATTACCCGGGACAAGATTTCAAAGAAACCCTCAAACAGCCACAGAATAAAAACTAAATGAATGCATGCTTGATTGATTATTTCCTAGTTGTGACAATAATTGATGGCAAGAAATCTTACACAGTTGGAAAGCCTATTTATTTTTGCTTTAATGGTGCCACATTTGTAAGGAAAATCCATTTGTGGGTTGAGCAGCGTGCCGTTGTTGTGTATGTGGGTTGCACCCAAGAAAACTTGCACAATTGCCTGGCCGTTGTGACTGCTTGGGGTTCACTATTGAGGCCCACGTTTAGTAAAACACCAATCAAACAGCTCAATAAGCAACACTAAACAGGGGCCAATGGCAGAATGAGCTGCTTGCTGTTGGTAGAGAGGTTCTTGCTGGTTTTTCAGAGCAGTGGTACCTGGCCATGTCGTTCAGATCCAGCCTGCCATCCCTGTTCTTGTCAAACATCTTCATCTGCAGGTACAGAAAAGATAAAATAAAGGCAACATGCAGTGAAAAAGGTATCTTAGCAACTTGCTCTCAACATGATGCCTGTTACCATGGTTTCGGTATACTCCTCCAGCTTCTGGGGCGTGATGGACTTCCTGTGCTGGAGGAACAGGTCGTGTAGGAAGCCCTGTGGAGAGGCAAGAGTTTATGAGCAACACAGCTAATTTGATGTAGGAATCTGCAGGCACTTCTTAATATATTTTTTTTCAGATTCAAATACACTTAAAAAGAAAGATATACATATTTATATGAAGCTAAATCTGGAGACACATAACCTTAAGCTCATTGGCTGAAATGTAACCACTGCTATCTGTGTCATAATTTCTCCAAATCTGTAATGAAAGAAGGCAGATGCATGGTAAAAGCTTGAACATAATATTTTGATGACTCAGCAGGATTTTGTTTCACAATGAATGCACTGATTTTTATCCACTTACCCTCATAAACTCCACACTGTTGTCCAACGGAGTTTCTCTGCGAAACAACAGCAGGAAATTCTCCTCCACTGGAAGCATCATGACAGCCAGCTGGAAACAGGCATTAAGAGTTTTTGTGGAAGATGTTCTACTTTCAGTAAAGACACAGTTATTTACAAAGTGATCCGTCTTTATTCCCTTTTATGTTTTGCTACAATTTATATTCAGAAGGCAATCATGATTAGAGAAAAAAAAAGTGAGCTTTGATATGTTAAGTCTGCCAGGCTAATTTAAATTCTGTGCAGAGGATTTTTTTTTTCTCCTGTTGGACAAAAAAATAAATCTACGCAAATTTTTCCATCAGCGGCTCAGCTGTTTCAGTATTACCTCTTCAATCTGCACGTTTCTGTCAGGAGCGGAGTCATATGGAGACACAAATCTCTCCCTCATTCTTCTCACTTTGTCCTCTGTTATCTCCTCCATCTGAAAACATTTTGTGTTATTTGTGTTTTCATACCAATTTGCTTTTTGAAAAACAAAAACAAATGGAAGCAAATCCACATTCAGACTCTTTTGCAATAAAACCAATGATTATTCTTATCCTGTACCTCAAAGAAATACATTTACCTTCATTCCAAGTTTGTGCAACATATGCTTGAAAAAGTCATCCATCTTCTTTCCTTCAATGTAGCCTTTGTCTATGAAAGAGAGTATTAAAATAATTTCCATATTTCACTAAAAATCTTCCATTTAAAAACTGAATAAAGCTACAAAACTATTCAATAGTTTTTCATTGGTAACATATGTGAATTTCTGTCTTTCAGTCTTTAAAATACATAACTGAAAACGATGCATGAACAGTGATAACTTAGATAAAACTTTATAATTTAAAAAAATAATTTAAAATATTTAGATAATTCTTTTGTAAAATATATCAGAATAATTAAGGTGATCCTCCTATACATAAAATCTTCATTAGTGATAGAATTTCATGCAAGTAAACTACTGTTTGGCAATAAAGTAATTCAGTTTTTGTCCTCGAGTAAATTAAAGAGATATGATTTTCAAAATAGTGAATCAGCAAATACATAATTCAGAGTTTAATCAATTATTATATTTACCTAAGCAAATAAAAATAAAAGCAAAATATATTATTTAATAACTGTTTTAATTTAGACAGGATATATTAAGAGTTTCGTAGGTCTTTGTACCATCTTTGTCGAAATGTTGCCAAATCTGTAAGAAACGAGCAGCATCAAGTCTGTCCAGTGCACTGTCCATGGTTCTGGTGATCCGTACAAAAGCCAAGTTTATGACAAGAAAAAGGAGAAAAACAAAACTACAACAGTAAAATAATTCTTTAGAGTTGCAGAGAAAATAAATATTCCACTGAAGTAAGATCAGACTTTTCCCTCTGGTGTATTCTGATATCAGTAAAAAAAAAAATGGAACAACAGAGAGGTTGAGCCTTTTATATGTGAGGGGAGGGATAACAGGAGAAAATAACAGAGGCTGCATAGAAAGAGGGGGTGGGGTGTGTGACCAATACCTCATTTTAATGATATAAACATAACAATAGATTTTTGTCGCATTCCCAGGCCAACATAACCATTTACATAATCAATTTAAAATGACATTTTTAAAGAAGGAAGCATAACATAATATTTTCCCAGTAAAATGAAGACCATCACCAAGTTCTAGCAATCATTTTTCACAAGACAACAAAATGTCCTTATGACAAAAATATGTATTCACTAAACAGAAACCCTAAACAAACATCAATACATATTTACATAGCCATATAATACATACATAAGTGCAGCAGTACATCATTAAGATGTAAGTATACAACAACTTTTATTGTGAAGGTACAGCAGCAGTGTGGATAATTAGAAAAAAAAAAAAAAAAACATCTCACGTTTGTTTACAGGAAACATTTGTGATGTTATCCCAGCAGGAGAGCAAAGGTGTGGTAATGGTGACAAAACATTTTTGAAGAATACAGTTTTAAATATTTTCATTCCCCAAAGAAAACCCTAATGTTCTCAGTCAGACAAAACATACCAAAGCCAAAAGAAATACATTGTTTTAGTTTCTACAAGCTCAAAATAAAAAAAAAAAATAAAAAACAATAAAAAAATAAAAACCTAGGAAATTAACTGATTAATGTACCGATACACTTTTTATTAAGTCTGAGTAAAAGATATAAAACAGAAGTAATCAGAGAAATTTCTTTCTCAAAATAACTCTGATAAAACCAGCTAAATTTGAAGGTAAAATGATGCAACAGTAGTCAGGTTAGCATTGTAAAGTTTACTTCAAATGACAAAAATATAAACTGTTGATTTTAGAAAAACTTTGTAACAAAACCTTTCAATTTCCCCCATTCATGATGAATTTCAGCAGAATTATAAAAGCTCAACACTGCTTTAATATACCCCTAGGCCTGTCATGATAACAAATTTTTCTGAGCGATTAATTGTCTAAAAATATTTTGCAATAAACGATAATATTGGAATATTTTGCCCGTATTTTCTTAGAACATTGGCCGATCTAAGATTGTCGCTGGTGATTTCGTAACCGATCACCCTGCAGTGTGATTTAGATCGTTGTGGCCGCTCCGATCTAAATCAGGGGTTTTCCCCGACTGGGAGCTTAACGCTGAATGTGACAGGCAGCCAATCAGAAAGCGCGGATTCTCCTCCGTGCTTTCTGAGGGGAAATTATGGAGGGGAATCCCAAACAGCTAACACGGCGCAACCCGAAGTCCAGCGGACATTGGAGATATGTGGAAACAACATTAATGTTTATTCAACATTTTGTGCAAAGAATATAGAAATGACAAGGGGAAGAGTTGGAGCCAAATTGCTACCGCAGTTGATAAACCCAGTAAGTTTTCAGCTGTTCTTCGTTAACGTGACATAAATAGGTTATAATGATTTTCATTCAGTCAGGACTTTACGCTGACTCTAGCCACATGCATCACAGGTAGATTCTAGTAAAGCATTGATTAATGCCCAATTTTAAA